TAAAGTAAGGGAAGAATCAGGCTGATGTGAGGTGGAGCCATGTGTGCCCTAGAAAAATATTAAAAGTAATAAAAATAACACCTTATGTTTGTCTATTTATCTAGTGTTTTAAAATTGTAGGATACATGCAATTCATGGAAAACAGCCACGGGCATAATGGAAAAATTGAAACTGCATGTTTTGAAATAGAACAAGTATCTCGTAAAGCAATGTCTCTCAAAATCTGTCTAAAAATCCCCCGAACATTTTGTTTAAACTATAGATCCATAGGCTCCTGAAAGACATAAAAAGTGGAGCCCTTCTGGGTGCAGCCTATGCATTTGCATTCTTCAGGAGCACCCTGGGTGAAGCTTCTGCACAATTACCTTCAAGAAGCCAATTTAAAAGTTTGTGATTTTTTTTTCCCCCTAAAGGGTAGCAAGGGTATGGAGGTGACATCAGGACAAGTTTCCCTGGGAACATGTAACCAGAGGATTTGGGCAGAATTGAAAAGATAGGGTCATTTTAGAGGAAAAGATTGAAAGAAACTCAAAGTCCTGAATTGAAAGGGCTGAAGTTTATACAGTAGAAATGAGGCAGTGACTACAAAGAGTGGCCTATTTTTCCCTGTGTCCGGATGGGGCATGTGGGCACAATTACCATCATCAAAGGGCTGTTCCATGCGTCACTAAATAAAAAAGGAGCTCTGAGACCACAATCACCTAGTATTAGAAATGTAATAGTCATATCTTATTTTAAAACCTGTTTTTAATCTATTGCCACCTGTGAAACTAGACTAAACAGATCAAATGTTAAGGCTATCTAAAAATACTCTGGGCAGAAGCATAATTAAGGTTCTAATTAGGATTATTATTTAATAGGCTGTGTAGGCAAGCCTGAGGAGATAAGCCCCTATCAGCAGCATTAAGTTCTACGTGTTTACTAGATTTATGGGGCCAACCCCTGTGTTTTTTCGGACAGTATAGAAATTATGTTGAACAAGTTTCAGAACCTGAATAATGACTGCCACTTATTTTCATTTAAAGAACATTCTAAGCGCAGGGATTTCAACAGACCAAACAATTGTGTTGTTTGGAAGTTTCTAGCTCATGGGAAAGCTTAGATAGAAGGCTTCTGTTCTCCATGTTTTCAGATACCACTTCAGGTGGACAAAGGTAGCAAGAGAGAATTCGGGGGATTTCTGATCAGCTTTCTCAAGGTTACCATGGGTGTCATGCTGTAGCACAGTGAAATCTCTTGATTCAATTGGATATCCTAGAAACCGCTCTCTGTGCAAAAGACAAAAAAAAAAGGAAGTATTTTCAGATACTGTTAACCCTTCATTTTTTATGAAATCAAACGCTGCAGATTTTTTAAAAATATGATATAAAGATCTTTGGCGTTTATGTATCACAGTCATCGCTGGAAGAAAACACACACTCAAGAATTATCAACTCCAAGTAACTGAACTCAAAGGGTCTCTGTGTAAAAACCCACCTCAAGAGGAGATAAAAGAAATGCTTGAGCGCTGTTATGTGGTTCCATTACTCAAATATGTCATTCTGGAAACAACTTTGCAGCCACCTGAGGAACATGATCTTTTCTCTCTCCTTAAATCACCTGCCTGAGTCACGCTATCCTTGAGACTGGAAAAAGTTATTAGACATTTTTCGATGTAAAAACAGATGGCACCCAGGGAAAACTCAGCTCCAGTCATCTGCAGACCCCACCAGTAAGGTCATCCACCCTGGGGTCTCTTGGTGCCAGGAATGGGGGGCTCTCTCTGGAAGTGGAACACTTTCGTCTATTAAGTTCCTTATCCTCATCTATCAAGATCCTGACCCCAAATGTGTCTCAGAGATCTCCTGCCTTCCCCCTCGCACAAGTCAACTCTTTTCTCATTAAATTTATAAATGTCACTGTAGCTCTTTAAACAGAAGCCTGAGAGGCAGGTTGATTCTTCTCATGCCTGCATTCAATCCCATGGAGCAGATTTGTCACTTTTCCCCTCCGAATCCACATCAGATTCTTTAGTGACATCTTCATCTGAGTCATCATCGCATCTGGACTGACTAGGGCCCCAGCGTAAGTCGGTGACCTTCCCTCTCCTCTTGGCATTCTCCCACACGTCTTGCACAGAGCAGCCTAAGTGTTAGTGAAACATGAATCATATCACAGCTTCTCGAAGCCTTTCATGTCTTTCCACTGCACTTGGAAGAAAATCTAAAATACCTAACAATGCCTACAGAACTCAGCATTACCCGGCCATGCCTATAAGTCTAGCATCACCTCCATCCTCTTTCCCCTTGCCTCATCTCTTCTAGACCTGTGGTCTTCTTCCCAGATGACAAGGTCTGTCTTCTCTTACAGTCTTCATATGTGCTGTTCACCAGCCCAGTGTGGTCCAGCCTCCCCCAGTCTTACATAACGGTATGAGAAATCATCATCCCTGTTCACCAATATAATCTCCTCCACGAGGCCTCTCTGCTTCCCCTCCTGTCTAAACTGGATGCCCCCTAAAATTATTTGATTAATTCAATCTGCTCCTTTAGAGTAGAAGACACTCAAAGTCAGGACCATGCGTATTTTATTCAATATTGTATCCCTAGAGCCTGGCACAGTTCATAAAATTGTTGTAGAGTAAATGAGTAATTAAAAGAACAACTTAACTTTGTTATTTTAAGACACAATTTTTAAATGCCAATAAAAACAGAAACAGGTGGATTTCCAGTTGTTTATGTGCCAAGATCCAGTTTTTTTGCAGTTGGGCTAGGTGGTGCATGCTTGGAATTCCAGCAGCTTTGGAGGCTGAGGCCGGAGGATCACCTGGGCCCTGTTATGGGTGTCCCCCACCAGCTCAATTATAAGACAATGCAAGAAAGTTCAGAGAAGAAATGACTAGGTTTTGAGAGTCTCTCCCCAGTCTTTGAGTTATTCCCTGATGGAATTAACTGCATGTTAACTGGAGGAGGTGGGGCATTGGGTACCTGGCCTCGGGGTATATATTTGTCTCTGGTGAGTAAATCACTCTCTCTGCTTTCCCCATCATATGAGCTGCTTCCCTCTTCCCTGCCCCCCTCAATGATATTCAACCTCAACTTAGGCCCCAAGGAATGGAGACTGCTGTCTATCCTGAGACCTCTGAAACCCCAAATAAACTTTTCCTTCCCTAAAATTGTTTGGTCAGATCTTTTAGTCTCAGCAGCGAAAAAAACTAACTAAAACAGGGCCCAAGTTTAAAACTAGCCTGGACAACACAATGAGACCCCATATTAAATCATCATCGTCGTCATCTCACAAAGTAGTTCCACTTCAATAGTAATTAAATTTAGGGAAAGTTTACCATAGGAGTGAATAAGAGATAATCTGGCTTGATTTGAAGGACCAGGGAATGGCTTTTCAATGACCTAAAAGTTAAGAAGAATCTCTTTCCTAAATGCTTTCTAAAAAGTTTTGCAGAGGGTTTACAAGGTGCCCCTTCTAAAAGGTTTGCAAAATGATTAGAATTTTCTCTGCCCTTGTCATTTTTAATGTATGCTATTCTTAAATTTAAAATGGTTAATGGAGCTAAGGTGGAAAAATCATGTTTATTTGGTTGAATATAT